GTGGGGTTAGCAGTTCAACCAGTAGTCGTACCACCAGGACCATCTAACCAACCGGGTTTTGGATCGATCAAATGCTCAGTGGGGAGGCAGTTGTTGGGGTCTTCATCAGCCCAGATTCTGAACCAGTCTCGTGCTCAGGCACCGCCTACTTGTTGGATGTGTAATCAGCCGGGTCAAATTCGGCATTTTTGTACTCAGCCGGGGGCTGCTTTACGGGTTTTACAACCTAGCCAGTGTAGATATAGCTCATATGCTTGTCTAGTGAAGTGTGGATACAGCTAATATGCTTGTCTGTTGATGTGTGATATGCTTATCTATTGGAATGTTGATATAGCTCATATGCTTATCTGTTGTAGTAGTGATATAGCTCATATGCTTATCTATTGAAAAGTCTGTTTGATTTGATATAGCATTAAAATGTATATCATCATCGTTTGTGAAGTATGGAAGTAGTTTATGTGTTATTGATACAACACCAAAATGTGTATCCACCGTGAATTTTGAAAATGTTCTAGTGATGAACTATAATCTCATCAAAATGTTTTGGCCAGAGTACTGAACCCCGTTTTCAAACTCAAAGTTGAATAAGAAATGAAAGGTGAATTGTAACATAGGTTTGGTTGTCATGGAATTGAAATAAGATGTAAATGGAAGTGTAAGTATCGGCCATCTATCAGTTGCTAATCTTTTAATCATTGTTCATAGTTGGTTTAGTATATCTCTGCTGGGCTGTGGCTCACCCTATATGGGAACATCATTTTCAGGTACAGGTAGCATGCCGCCTCTACGAACATAGCTTGGGAGGCTAGGGACAAGACATACTTTTGTTGCCTTATTTTCCTTTTGATGTATTACATGTAATTTCAAGCCAAGGGCTTAATGTGTAACCGAGTTAATACTCTCTTTTGTAACCAAGTGATAACTTGGAAAGCTGTAAGCCCGCAGGGCATTTACTTTTGTTGTTAACGTGTAATACTTTTGTAATGAAGTACTCTGATTATTTGAGGGAATGTGGATCTTTTGTATATAAATGTTTGTTTATATTGATGGGTTTAATATTATTATTTTGAGGGCGTGACATTCATTCAAATGGTTAAAAATGTTGAGTCCATCAGTCAATTCAATTGGGTAAAGCACACACTTGATTTTCTTGTTGACCGCATTGTTATTGCCAAGGTCAAAGAGTGGTCTGATGTGTGCGGCTATTTGCTTCTTCTAATGGTACCTCCCCTTGATGTGAAATTATTTCATCTATTATTTTTTATTGCATATTGTCTAACACACATTAAAATGACTTTTTTTTTCCCTATGTAGTTATTTTACTTGGAACAATTTGCTCGCAAAAGGGAGTTGGTGGCTACTTCTAACCCCATTCCTCACTTATCCTCTTGGGGCAATTCAGAAATTAAGCAGGGTTTGAATCAAATTAAAGCTTTGGGAGGATATTTAAATGTTGAGGTAAATATTTACAACACATGACTTTTTATAATTATAGCTCAATTTACATTACACCTGTGACATTAACAAGTTATTGTATATGTGTGAATAGGTGGCTTTGCCTAACATTGTTGAAAAGTCAAATGCAGTAACTCTTAGCCAAGGAAGAATTGACAACGATGATGACTCCCGATTGGCTAAAGTTGATAAACAAGTCATTGAAATTCATGCCCTTTTGGTCCAAGGCCACAAGGCAAGATGAGGATGAGAAACGTCTAACCAAAGTGGAGAATCACGTTGGAAAAATTCTTGAGCTGTTAGAAAAACACATGCTAGTTGATGGAGAACAAGTTAAAACACCACCAAGCAAACTACTTGCGGAGCAGCGACTGGTCAAAATGGAGAACCAAGTTGGTCAAATTCTTGAGTTGTTAGAACAACGCATTCCATTTGATGGTGGACATGTTAAAACACCACCAAGCAAACTACATGATGAGCATCGAATTGATATTGAAATGGTTGGTCTCGATGTGAGTGGTACCGAAAAGGTTGCAGCCAATTCCCCAAAGTTTGTAGATGAGGATGAGATAAGGAATATGAATGACAAAGAACCAATGGAAACTTTGCGTTTGAGAAAAACAAAATCAATCCTCACACCACCAAATGCAAAGGCAGTTGCAAAGAAACGAGCCAAATTGGTTGGTGGGAAAGCATTAAATAATGAACAACTTTCTATTCCACGAAAGGGGCGATTGCGCGCAAAAAAGAGCGATGCAAAGGCAGTTGAAGTGAATGCTGTAACAATGTCATCATCATGTAGTGTTGTTTGTGGTCCTCAGACTCGAGGGACCCAGAATTGCAAAGCCAGTCAGTGGTTGCGTACACCTTTTGTGAAATTTGATGTAATGAAGAAAAGGCCACAGTTGAAGCCATCGTCAAACGACAACAACGTTGACAATAATATTCATGACAATCTCGATCAAGTAAACTAAATGATTGTGTCTCAAAAACATATTTGATTTGTGTGCAACAAATAGTGTTTGTTTCTTACTTTTCTTTTACTTGTATCAGCTATTTGATAATTTACTTGATCAACTTGGGGGTAATGTTGTTCCTAAAATCCCAAAGGTTTGGAACTAACTATTATAGTATCTTTTGTATATGTGGTTATTTTGCGCTAACTCCATCTTCATGAACATACACTAACCAAGCTTGATTTGTTTTATGCACTATTCTTCTCAATACCTTTACAAGTCATCCGTGCCTTTGCTAGACCCATTAAATGACTATGACAGTCTCGTTCTACGATATGTATTTGATGAATCTCTTCCAGAAGGGTATTATTTGACTACCTTTAACTTGTTATGTATAAAGTACTATACCTTCTAACTCACATAGTTATCCATGTGCTAGGGAATATCTAGTAAGGATGAAACTGCACTACGTGGAAGCACAATCTGCAACTCGGAAGAAATTGTGCTCCTTGAAACCATATCAATGGATATCCTCATGTGTAAGACTTTTCTCTTTCTCCTATTTTATTTGCTACCATTCCATCATCCAGGTTACTTTACTTTGCCTATAAATTTCATATATTTTGCACTGCAGATTATAAATCTCATTGTTGTGAAATTGACAAATAAACAAAGGAAAAAGTTTCCAAATAAGGATCACATGGTTTGGTACTTTCCGACCCATGTATCGGTAAGTATTAGCCATACCTAAAGACTTTTTTCATATAGGCACAAGTTATTTATATGTTAAAATTGAATATGCAGCAAAAGAATTTGTGTCAACCTTCTGATGACACAATGAACGACATAGTACAAGATTACTTTGGAATTTACAGATACACTGGCCCCCTTCATGCTTGTGAGGAGGTAACATGATAAAATACTACTAGTACCCAATTTCCAAATTTACCATGAACAATAACATTTGATCCATGTTATGTATTTATTTATTTTTTGCATGTACATTCGATGTTATATTTTTAGATTTACATGCCCTTTAACCATGGGGAAAACCACTGGTTGTGCTTGAACGTAAACATGGAAAAACGTGTTACCTATCTATTCGACTCCAGCAGATGTATTGACACCGATGAGGATCGAAAAAATCAAGCTAGATTATTGGTAATAGAATAACCATTATGATACCACTTGTATCCACTTTTTTGTTTCTTGATCTATGTACCTTACTACCTACCACCAACAGGTACAATCATTGCATAAGCTGTTTCAATATGCGCATGGAGAAGATTATGTTCAAGATGTTAGTTCGTTTGCATTTCAATGGTTGGAAGACATGCCACGCCAAGACAACAGGTAATACACTACATTATCGTTCTTAATTTTTAAATAAGCATTAATGTTATAATCTCTAAGTTCGTTGACTCTATTGTTACAACTACACTCATTCCTATAGCTATGATTGTGGTCTTTTCATCATCAAATATATGCAAGGGAAACCTTTGCCTTCGGGTGTAATCAAGGTACTTACATTTATACCCAACTGTCCACTTATCAGCATCTTATGTTTTATGAAGACTAATTTTATAATGCGTGATGTTTTTATGACCTCACTACTTTTGGCATGTAGTTTGACTATTTGCATAGGGCTCGCTTGTTACATGATCTTGTGATATACAAGCATAATTCAGCTGATATTGTTGCTGATATCGTGCAATATAAAGCTGGTGATGCTCTATTCTTTTTTATTTTTCATAAGTTCGTACAATCAATGACGTTATTGCATTTCTTAAACTCGTGAACTTTGAGTTTATAACTCAACCTTTGTTATAAAATTATATTCTCAAGTGTGCTATCTTGTGCAGAACTCAGAGCTAGGGGTGAATTGAAATGGAAGTAGAGGCTATACGACTTTTGTGATCCGGAAAGAAGGAAAGATAGTGGATAAGGTTGTGGGAGCGAACAAAGACGAGTAGCTACCATTGAAATAGGAGCTCATTCGAATGAAACAGATTCCTTTTTTCATCCTTTCATCTCCCATCACCCTCTCTATGAATAGCACATTAACTTTACTGAATAGCATATATACTGGCTAACATGGGCTGGAAATTAGATTTTGTTAGTGAGACCTATGATGGCATGTCTGTTTTGAAATACTTAAACTAGCATGAGTTTTGCAGATCTTATTGATGTTTGGAATGGATGGAGGCATTATCAATACATCATTACCAACTTCATACTGACTTTGTTGGTCATTTTATTAAGATAGTGCCAACCACTATTTATTAAGATAATGACATAGTTATTGAAAATCAAAATAAATAAAGAATGACTCTGTAATCAACAATCAAAATATTGGTTGATCAATAGAAACACAATAAAATAGAAACAAAGAAAAGGAAAAAGAAAATAAATAAAAATATATGGAGACTCATTAAGGCAATTCATTTGGGTTCTTTAGTATTTTTCTTAATTGACTTGGGTTATTTTTAGGTATTTGGATTCCTCTAAAACACACCCGCAAGTATAACTTTATACACTACCCAACTTATAGCAAATAATTAATAAAACTTATAACTTTATAACTTTATAGCAAAGAATTAATAAAACAAATAAAAATAAAATGAATTTTATTTCGACTATATATAATATTAGTAATTAGTAATTAGAATTCACAGAATTTTTTTGACTTATCCTCCTTGTATAAGTTAAGATCTATTCTTCAATATCACGGAACGTCTTTTTTTCTTAAGACTTCAATAAAAGATTATTTTGGAAAACAAGGAATAATTCATTATGAATTAAGACATAAGAAACTTCGGAATTCTAGACTAAATCAATGGAAAAACTGGTTAAAAGGTCATTATCAATACCATTTATCTCAGATTAGATGGTCTAGATTAATAGCAGCAAAATGGAAAAATAGAATTAATCAATGTCATATAACTCAAAATCAATATTTAAACAAAGAGAATTCATATGAAAAAGACCTATTAATTCATTACAAAAAACAAAACGATTACGAAGCATATTCATTACCAAATCAAAATGAGAATTTTCAAAAATACTGTAGATATAATCTTTCATCTTATAGATCTATTAATTATGAAAATAAGAGGGACCCATATATTTATGGATCACCATTCCAAGTAAATAAGAATCGAGAGAGTTCTTATAATTACAACACACATAAACATAGGGGCAAATTTTTTGATATACTAGGGGATATCCCTATCAAAAATTATTCAGGAAAAAGTGATATTATGTATATGGAAAAAAAATCCGGATCGAAAATATTTTGATTGGAAAATTCTCCATTTTTGTCTTAAAAAGAAAATCGATATTGAGGCCTGGATCAAGATCGATACCAACAATAATAAAAATACTAAAACCGGGACTAATAATTATCAAATAATTGAAAAATTGATAAAAAAAAAAAAAGATCTTTTTTATCTTACGATTCCTCAAGATCAAGAAATCAATTCACCCAATAAAATAAAACCGTGGTTTGTACCGCGCAAATTACTTTTTTTTAATATAAAAAAAAACCAAAATACTCAGGCTAGAATTCTACTTTTAAAATTATTGGGCCAATAGAGCCAAGCCTTTATCTGTCCAAAAATTTATCTATATGTTCAAATGTTATTTATCTGTACACATGTCACGTACTTTTCTACTTATTTGTCCAAATATCACCTAATTATACACATGTCACCTATTTGTCCCACCTTACCGCTACCCAACCATTGTTGCCAGCTACCGCCATCCACCAGCCATTGGCAACTTTTTCAATAACTTTAGGAGTGATAAACGAACCAAACAACTTGAGCTCGACTTATGCTCAGCTCATTAAAAACTCGTTCGAGCTCAGTTCATTAAGTAAATAAGCCAAACTTGAACACATTTTGAAACTCATTAAAGTTTTCAAATTAAGCTTGAATAGTCAATTGCTTGTTCGGCTCTGTTTGATGAATCTAAAACTACCAAACTACTTGAGGTCGGCTTGACAAAAACTCATTTGATATCGACTCGAAAATTTAATGAACCAAAGTTGAACAAATTTTAAAATTCGCTAAAGTTATCAAAGCAAGTTATAACAATCAACTGTTCAGCTTGTTTATTATCCCTAAAGAGGGTTTAAATAGGACTACAACTATTTGTCTTTCTCATTTTACACCCCCTCCATACCTTATTCTCTCTACTACTTACAACACAATTTTGGAAGCAATTATTATATATGTAGAATCACTTGAAAATAAAATAAAATAAACACTCTAGAGGATTCATGCTTCGTCTGTGATGGGTGGCTGAAGGCAAAAATCTTAGTATAGAATTTTCAAATGTCTATCAAAATTAATAAATTTACTTGAACTAGACTCTTGTGATGTATTTTCCCTAGAGTTCTTTCTTTTCAAACATGTACATTTCTCTACTCCCTCAAAATTATGTTTATTTTTGTCATGGGTGGGAAGCAAAAGTATCAATTCAGAATTTGCAGACATTTACATGTCATTCAACAAATTCGAGTTCAACCAAAAATGAATTCAATCTTTCTCTTGTGACATCATCTCCCTCTAGAAAAAAGACAGTACACCCGCAAATATCCTACTATCAATTAAAATAAACAAACAAAATAAAAGCACACCTGCCAGTGCCCTGCTATCAATTCAAAGCAAATAAATTCAAAAAAACAGAAGCAATTAGCCTACTATCAATTAACATGAAACAAATAACTATCAATTAAAATAAACAAATAAATAAAACAAATAAATAAAATAGCACACCCGCCAGTGCCCTGCTATCAATTAAAATAAACAAATAAATAAAAAAAGACAGCACAAATAAATAAAATAGCACACCCGCCAGTGCCCTGCTATTAATTAAAAGCAAATAAATTACAAAACACACCTACTAATGCAACCGCTAGCGAGGAAGGGATGGAGGAGGTATAGCTTTACTTCTACGTTAAGATGGAGAAATTGAGGACCTATAACAAACAAAAACAGAACATTGAAATAGAGTTAGTAAAGAAGACAATACGTAAGGAAATTAATGATTGTAGGGAGAAAAGAAAGAATATATGTACGAAAAATATTATTTTGCACATCTTTTGACATTAACAAACTGCATAAACAATAACAGAGATGAAAGTCTACTACCTTTGTTCAAAGTCTCAATAACCATTACATAAATAAACACTTAAACAAATGTACCACAACCAACCGTTTGACCACTTCAACAAAAAATTAAATAAAAATATATACAAAAAAATTTATTTGATTGGATGAACTATTGGATTATTTGATAGATCATAACTTGGTTAATTTCCTAGTAGTTTCTTGTGTCAAAGGTGAAGTTGAGTAGCTTCTAAATGGATGGGCTATTGGATTATTTTTTTTGAAAACTTTGTATCCGGCCTATTGAACTATTGGACTACTGGATTTGGATTATTTTTATTGGATTTTCTGATCTTGATAGAACTTTTATGTTGTGTTTGGATCATGGATATGAGTAGAAATTTGAAAAGGAAATGGAAAAATGTGGGTGAAATGTCAATGAACTATAATTACATTCAACACACCTTTTCCCTTTCCCTTTCCCTTTCCAAATCCCTAGCTAAATCCATGATCCAAACATAACATTAAGGAAATATGATGGTTTCAACGTTATAGAAAGCAAAGCACATTCACATAATTTTCTTCTTCTTTTGTGCTAGCTTATTATTTTCCAAAAAAATTCAAAATATAATAAAAATGTGGGAGTGGATTTTCCAAATGATTTGAGCCAACATCAATCCATATGTTGTAGTTACATGAAGTTATATATCATAAAGTGAGTAATTATAAATGACAGCAACTATGGCTTTGATTATAATTATTGCTTAACATAAATAATTTTTACGTAGAAAAGTTCCTAGAATTTGAATGCTTCGTATAGATTTAACTTGATGTGATGTGGACCACACCCTATATCAATGAAGATCATTGATGATGCTAATAATGACAGCTATTAGGACATATTGGTAGTTTACCCTTATATTTGTTGCTGGATTCAATGTGATGATAATGAAAGCATTTTATTTTATTTTTACTTAAATTACTTCATTTTTGACACATGGTGGCATAGGCAGCATCAGAGCTAATTCAAAGTTCTGCTGAGCCAATTCTCGAACAATATAGATCAGTTATCTTATCATCTCTCAAGTTTTCAAAGTTGACTCTTGGTACCGTGGCTGCACAATTCACAGGTTTGTTTGATTTCTGTTTGATCTTTGATGAGGAAGTTTAACTAATTTTTAACTAGTTAAATAAGGAAGTTTAACTAATTTTTATCCCAATGCTTTCATAGATTTTGGAAAGAATTGTACTTCTCAATTTACAATTACATTCTTCTGAGAAAATCAAATGAGAAAAGAATGGCCTATCAGATTGGATTGGTCTAAAGTTATTGCACATTAGCAAGTCAGAATTCACTCCACAACTTCTGTTTCTTTAATCTTCAAAAATATATATATTTTATTTTTCACTTTATCGAATTATTATGGCCAGAGGTAGAGCCAATCATCTTCAAGAATAGACACAAGAATTAAAGGAAATAATTTAAATTTATTTGGACCATCAATTTTATTTTATTTTTAATCTTTTTTAAGGTATTGATAGAAAATTGTTGATGTTTTTAGGGGTTCCAATTATTGAAGGCGATGCTAAGGGAATCACGATGGAATTGA